GGGGTCGGCGGATTATTATTATTATTATTGTTATTATCAGTGATATTATTATTATTAGTACTATTGTTATTATTACTAGTATTAGTATTAGTATTATTGTTATGATGGCATTGCGTTCTGCAGGCTCCGGTGCAGGACCAGGTCAGCCCCGGCTCCGAGGATCCTGGGAGCCGCTCCCGCAGGCGCAGAGCTCCCACGAGAAGTGGATTGTGTCGTTTTTGGATCGTTTGGATGGAGATTTTTTTGGCGGCTGAAGAATGCACAGTCTTGGGACACGAAACCCTGGCTGCATGCCTGAAGGCTGCCTGGATCAGTTCAAACTTACAGCCCCAAACGCGTGCAGATGCGTGCAGCTTTGTGCCAAAACTTCACATGCCAGGCTCCAAGTCAAACCCGCCTTTGACAACGAGGAGCACCTGTTTGCCACTAGCTTGCTGCGTAGATCGGCTGTTCCAAAGTGCTTGTGGACTGGTGGGTTCAGCAGGAAGCACGCCGTGCTGTGGCGGAGGCTGCAAGACGCCTGGCAAACTTCGAGGCATTTGGGCACGGGCGACTTCTGGACCTTCTCGCGATATGTCGAAATCCGCGAACACAAGCTTAAGATCAACTGCAGCAATGGCAGTGAGAGACTGCATGTAGGCTACCACTTCACTCTTCTGTGCGTGCTTCTTCCTCTAGGCCCCAAATTCCACAGTCCCAGCCGCTCCGGATTGGTGCAGGACCAGCTTGAGCTCCAGCGCTGTGGCCTCCAGCGTCGCCGGGTGCAGAAGCAGAGCGGCGAGGCCTGGGCCTCGGTGGTCTGGGCACGAAATCACCGCGTGCTCGACATGCACCGGCGGTGCTCTTTGGAGTACTTTGGAGCTCTCTCGTCTCTTTAACAAAAGTAAGTGCCTGCGGGCCTGCCCTTTCAATCTTGTCGCCGTGCAAACTCCAGAATCGACAGTACCCGGGTTTGTACAACGGTGTGTGCCAGGCAAGAAACCAGCTTGCTTGGTCGGTAGATGGGCTCTGCAGAATGAGGTCGACGACGTCACTCTGTTGGGATATGCGCTCCTCCATCACGGCGGCTTATCTTTATGATGCCGATGTCGGATCTTTCGCATGTTTCCGCCGGGAATCCGAGGAGAGCTTGAATCGCTGGCTGCCGAGCGGCAGGGCTGCCTCTCCGACTGCGACCAGCTTTTGCAGGTGCCTGGCAAAACCTCGCACGACGCTTTGGCTTTCGCTTTGCTTGGGCAAAGGTGGCTTCCAGGGAGGGCTGGTCGAGTGAGGACATCGGCGCGTGCGAGCAGTTGGCCGCCTCTCGGATGCAAACCCTCTGAACAGAAGAAGAGAAAAGAGGACGTAGAAAAGTGCTTCTCCCTTCGCAGCTGCAGCTTTTCGCTCGAGGCCCGCTGCCGCGACTTGGATGACTCCTTCCGCTCCTGCGCGCAGACAGCCGCGCAGCTTAAGCAGGACGCCTCGAAGGCCGGGACAGAATTCTGCACAATGCCACCCCACTTATCCAGCCCTCGCCTGCGAACGCGAAGGTAGACAGCGGGTCAATCGTGCACGTCTGTCGGGATATCTCTCAACTTGGCCAGGCGGCACCTTTGCGCCTCGAAGACTCCGACAGGCAACCGAGCAGAAGAAGCTTCAGATTTTTCTTGGAGAAGCTGCGAAGCATCTTCGGGGTCTGAGGGTCTGAGGATGTCCAGAGCTTCGCGAGTTTCCGGGCCATTCGTAGACTAGTGGAGCCGAGGCAGGCGGCTCTGGAGGAGGCCTTGCGCCGCGTGGCTCGCTTCGACCACGATGTGGAGGCACAGCGCGAGGCACTTCGCAGGCCCGAGATGCAGAAATAGGCCGAACTATGCAGACATCGCGAGAAAAGCCCTAAGCTTCGGCCAAAACGAGGCGACGGAGGAAAGGTGGCACAGGAGAAGCCGCCGTGGATGCTGTGCTTGCCTCCCTCTTGGAGCAGCGCAGGGAGGCCAGGCTCCAATGCGAGGCAGGGCCGAGCTGGTATGGAAATCTGCAAGACTCGTGGGCATGGAGTTCTCCTGACATCTCCTGACACTCTGTAACTGTGGAGCCGCACTTTTAGAAGCTCTATATGTCAGGAGCTGGGCCGGGACTCGCCTTCTGAAGCCTGGGGCCTCATTGACTCCCTGCTCCTTGGATTGACTCAGGGGCTCCGAAGGGTGTAGCAAGAAGCTCAGTCGCCAGAATCGCCAAGGTGGAGTGGCAAGCTGACGGAGAGTTTAGAGCAGCTGACTGTCCATGTCTCGGTCCCGGTCCAGGCGCCCTCAGGCTCTTTCCTCTTTCGTCTCTGCTCGTGATTTTGACATCCCTGGCAGGAGCCTTCGTCTGAAGACAGCCAAAGGAGTGGCAGGCACGGATGGCATCTCTGCCGAGCGGACATCTTGAGATTTTGGGACCCGCCTGAGAGCTTCTGCTCCGTGGCCCCAAAGCCATCAGGCAGCCGGGCCGAAGCGATGCTGTGCCAGTCCAAGTCTTCGGCGCAAAGGGATAACTGAGGGATTCTGTGCTAGTGCTTGAGTTCGGGTTCAGGAGGTTCAGGCTTCGGGTTCTGTACAGTTTTTGTAGACGCTTGTGAATCGGAGAGAGGTGGCGAGGAGGGCTGGGTGTCGACTCGAATCGTTGAGACAGCACATGGCCAAAAGCAGGTGTGTGAGGTTTTTCCTGGAAGGCTGCATCTCAGAGGCTTCTTTGGGTTAAGGTTGCTCGTTGGGGGAACGCGTCGCGGCGTCGCCCACGTGTCACTAGCAAGAGTATGGGGAAACGGCCAGAGCCCATGGAAGACCCAGGGCCCCGGCTCTTCCGAGGTGGATGCATCAGCAGAGATGGCCGAAGCGCGCCGACGCAACTCGGCAGGAGAAGTTGGCAATCCGAGTGATTCCAAGCAACGGACCAGCCACTGCTGCGCAACTCCCACACTCTGAATCTTCAATCCCTTGAAGGTTTGGCTCAGCTGTCGGAGGACGCGAAGGGATGAGATTCGCGTCTGACATGCAGTTTGTTGCCTTGGCACTCGTGCTGCAGTACAGCGTGCTTCACCTTGAGACGGAGTCGAACTTCTCCAAACTGTAAGCCCAGAGTTGTTCGGATGTAGCGATTCGGCCTCTCGAGCATAGGGGTTTTAGGTTCATGGCTTTCAGGTTTTTAGGGCTTCAAGGTTTGAGGGCTTTGGTTTCAGGGTTTGGGTTTCGGGGCTTTGGGCGTTTAAGTCTGGGTGTCTTAAGGAGGGTTCAGGGCTCCGGCCTTTAGGATTTAGGGCTCAGGGCAAGTGGGACAACTCCACAAAGCCCAGAAGCACCCGGAGCCCAACAAGTCCTTCAAGCCCGAAGGCCTAAAAGCCGTAATAGGAAGCCTATACTAAACCCAAAATCCAAACCCCTATGAAGCCCATTTTCCTAGACCCTACCTAGACCCCAAAGAACCTACCCTTTTCAAGGACTTATGTAATGAAATCATAATCAGGAACCCTAAATACATGTGGAAACCATCATCAGGAGCCCTAAAAAAGGGCAGGTTCTTTGAGGTCCAGGTAAGCACCCTAAACCCTAAACCCATCCTTTGAGCCTCCAGAGCGCAGCAGGATGCCGAGCGACAGCGACTCGGCCTCCGTGCGAGGCGCCGCCGGGGCAAAGCTGAGGAGGTGCGCTGGCGAGTTTAAGGTTAGGGTGTTAGGGTTTAGGGTTATGGGGGGTTTAGGGTTTAGGGTTATGGGGGTTTTACCGTTGAGGGTTCCAGGGTTTTAAAGTTCAGCCAGTCAAGGTTGCAGGGCGGCCGGAGCATCGACCCCCTCGAATAATCCTGAATACAGTAGCGGCGCTAGCAAGGAGTATTGGTAGTATCAATACTAGTAAGCTGTCAATGCGAATGGCAGACGCAAAATTAGAAGTGGTGGAACAGAATCCGGCGACAGCCGCCCACAGGCCACTTTTAATCTTGGAGGGGTTGCTATTCCTACGTCAGAAATATGGGGGTCTTTTTCGGTTCAGGAGTTTCGGGGTTCAGGGTTACTGTATGTGGGTTGAGGGTTCAAGGTTTTGAGGGCTGTAGCTTTCAGTGTTTTGGGGTTTCAGGGTTCAAAGTTCTGGGGAGGGGGGTTCGGGGCTTAGGCCGGCGAAGTTGAGGACTGGGGGTTTCGGAATGTCGGGCTTGCGGTTTAGCGGCCCGGGGTCCGGTTGTTCAGTTCCATGTGAGGTAGCTGCTTGCAGAGGAGTCTAGTATACTGAGGCCCAACCGCAGAACTGCTGCAAGCAGCTACGAACAAGAAGGCTTGAAGGACGAAACGAGCAAAGTCCATTCAGGACGAGAACAGGGAAGATCTCCACACGGCTTCATATTGTAGTTATTGCCCCCCACTCACGATCATGTTGCAAAGGCCGTCAAGGAAGAACTTGAGCAGCTCCTCGGCTGAGTTAGTTAATAGTCTTAACTACTATGATTACTAGTATTGGTACTATGATGACTATTCTTATTGTTACTAATAGTATGATGATTAGTAGTATTATTGTGGCAGCCTTTTTGGCATGCCATGGCAGTAGCCCCGCCAGTTGAAGCTGAGGATAGCAGCATCCGGTGCGGAGTTTGGTGCTTTGGCAGTCGAGCATTGTGAAGGCCAGTAAGCCTCTACCTGTACATGCTTCATGACACACAAATATGATTTCTTCTTGCTGTTCGTGTGGCGCCGTCGAGCTAGCTACTTGCTGCTGCTTTGTTTTCGTGCCGATAGCTAGCTATTATCATACTTGTACCAATGCGGCTCCTGCTGCTACCGCGACCGCGACAGCGACTGCGACTGCGACTGCTGCTGCTACTGCTGCTACTACTACTAAGTTGCTACTCCTGCTGCGGCTGCTGCCGCTACTACTGCTACTACTGCTGCTACTACTGCTACTTCTACTGCTGCTACGACTACGACGACGACTACTTCGACTGCGACCACTACTACTACTGCTACTGCTGCTGCTACTACTCCTACCACTACTACCACTACTACTACTACTACTACCACCACTACTACTACTACTACTACCACCACCGCTACTACTACTACCACCGCTACTACTACTACTACTACTACTACTACTACTACTACTTCTCCCCCTCCTCCTCTTCCTCCTGCTGCTCCTGCTGCTGCTGCTGCTGCTGCTGCTGCTGCTACTGCTGCTGCTACTACTAATGCTGCTGCTACTCCTACTACTACTGCTGCTGCTGCTGCTACTACTACTACTACTGCTGCTACGACTGCTTTGTTGCCAAGATGAAATCGTGCGCACTAGTTTCATTCGTGCTTGTGCAATGCACGGCTTGAACTTTGCAATTCAGCGCTCATTCCGCAGGCCTCCAAGATCAGGAAAAGTCTCTCAGCGAGGTCTGGGCCCCAGAACTATCAATGCACGGGATGGGTTTAATTATCAGAACTATCATGCTTGACAGGATAGGTAGGTAGATACAGCTTCTGGAGGCCCGCTGCAAAGACCTCGCCTGCTAGCGCTACGTGTTGAAACATGCTCAGGTTATGCAGAAAGACTCTGAAGCCATGGACGAGATTGAAGCCTGGAGACAGCTTGTTGGGCTCGAAGAGCTGCAGGCGATGAAGGAAAGAGAGAGATTGCATTAGGGAGCATGGAAGCAGGACTGTCTTAATTCGCGAAGATGGCCCGGATGCATCGAACCTCTCTGCTCTGCGTCAGCTTCTGCATCTGGGAACGAAGAGGAGACGTGACCCAGTTCTGCCTCTCCTCGCAGGCTGCGGCCTCCAAGATGTCTGAGCGGCTGCAGGACGAGGAGAGTCACAGTAGAGTCGTTGCTTTCGTCAGGGATCCGCAGTGTCTTCTGGGCAGGCGACAGGCAAGACGGTGGCTGACCTCACAGGGCTGGGTCCGTCGCAATCGCGGTTGCCGCCTGTCAGCAAGCATGCCTTGTAATTCGACGTCCGGCCACAACAGAGGAAGGGCCCTGCAGTGGTACAGTATTATTACCAGCAATCAACAGCGGCAGCCATTCTCATTTTAATCATTTCCTACTAGAAGGCATCAAGTTCTGGCAGCAATAGCCCCTGAAGCAGTAGTGGTCACCGTGGTAACCGGTCGTGGTCGTCGTCGTCGTCGAACACTGCAACGATGTAGGAACAACGCCTGGAGTTTGCATCCAGCTGTCAGTTCAGGGTATCAAAAGGATGCGATGTCCTTCGGCAGTGTACAGTAGACACGGCGATGTCTGTTTGTGACAACAGCAGCGTCTAGCGACTGAGGAAGCGCCAGGGCACCAAAGGCGACTTCAGCACAGACACCAGTGCTGCCAAGCAGCAGTGCGAGGAAATGAAGGTGCAGCATCGTACCTGCAACTAGTTTTCTGGACATGAAAAGTGCAAGGGAGGCGACTTCCATGCTCAGAATGTGGAAGATGTGCCGTTCCGGAATGTTCAATCTGGCAGGCCCGGCTGCTGGAACTTCGCGAGGAGGAAGAGGAGACCGGGAAAGTGGCATCGACCCAAACCTGCTCGCAAAATTTAGAACTTTGCTAATCCACACTCTCTGCTCTGTTCCTTTCCAACGACTAGTCAAGTCTTCTCATGAAAAAGTGGTGCGGCTGTGGTCGTCGAAGGGAGGAAGCGAGGATGTCATTTTTTGAAGGAGCGGCAGCGGCTTTTGCTACAGCGGCGGCAGCGGCGCAAGCGCCAGGCTGGCAAACGAGCCAAGAATTTGTGCCGCACCCTAGCAACAGCTGGTTGCTCGGCCTGGTGTAGCTGGTCAAGACTGCGACTCGACAGAAAGCAGTTACGCTTCCCTGGCCTAGTAGGCGTGGTATCTGAGAGAGGGATGAAGGCCATGAGAGCTGTTCGCTGTTCAGGAGCCACCTGAAGATGCCGAGGAGGCCGCGTTGGAGTCCGAGGCTCGTTCCAGGGAGCGCGGGGCCCTGGTCTGGACAAAAAAATAGAATGCAGCAAGCAGAGGGCGTTTGCAGGAATTCAGGAAGTTCAGGCGTCAGCTATGAGTGTATTAAACTATGCCAAACTTGTCTACTGTGCCCCTTTTGGGGTGCCCAGGTTGTTGCTCAAGGCCCACGAGCCTTGGCAGCAGATATCCCGTGTCTCTGCTCAAGCGAAGGCTCCGAGAAATTCCGCGAATCTCTGCCGGCATCTGCTCAAGAAGTGAGATCTTATGTAGCTTAGTATTGCACGTGTGAGGCGAGCGATGCTTCATCGTTGTACATTACTGCTGGCCCTCTGCTTGTTCAAGGGAGGTGGAAGCGTTTCCACCAGCTGCAAGACCCTTGGCTGCGGAGGCCGCGATAAGACGTGCTCGTGCACTACATCTTGCTGGAGCTTTTCGTCCTGCTGTGACGACTATGGAACTGTCTGCCCAGAGCAGTCGCCCACCATACAGTTGGGAGACGTGAATATGCTCATAACGACAGACCTCCACTCCTGGATCGAAGGCCGCACCCACGAGTCACTCCTGAACGCGTCATTGGCTCATGTGGTCTCGGCGTTGGATCATCTGCGGAAAGCAGCTGATGTAGAGAAGCGAGATGTGTTCTTCTTCGACAACGGGGACATCAACGATGGAACTGGTCTTTCAGCAACTGCCCCCGATCATGTGGAATTCTTAGCTCCAGTGATGCAGAGCGCACGCTATGACGCCCTCAACCTCGGCAATCACGAGCTTTATCAGCGCAATGGCCACGGTATAGTCACTCGGTTCAGGGTCACTGAGGGCAATGCACAAAAAAGCGAGAGTGAACCGCTGCTGGCCTCCGCTGAGTCTGAGGTCGAGGGTCCTGCCTGCCCTGTCGTTGGACTGAAGGAGTCGGGTTACATCGCTTCTTGGCAGGGCCGTGGCTTTGGCAGCAAGAGCCCAGAACCACCTAGAGTCCAGAGTCTAGCGACTCGAACCTGCGAAAGCAGTCAAGATTGCTCATTCTGTCCCAGGGTGATGTGGGAAGTTCGTGGAAGTCCGAGGGGCTAGGACCGGCTAGAGTACGTGTGCGGGGCTAGCGTGGGAAGTCATGGCACAAGAATTCGGAGAAGCATGTGAGCAAGTCGCTCTCACACGGCTCGGTTGCGTGCAATGCCAAGTCGCGGCCCAGGATACCTGACCTCGAATGTCCTTTGGTCCTCAACAGAAGAGCCAGTTGGAAGCCGCTACGCTGTTGTCGAGGGGAAGTTCGGGACTAAGCTCTTGGTCTTCGGATTCCTCTACAACATGGAAGACCATTGCGATGCCGTGAGCGTGTTGGATGTGGAGCAAACACTGGCTTCCGACTGGTTCATCGAATCCCTGGAGGCTGGCTCTTGGCCCCATGCCCCAGGAGATTAGCTCCATGCAGTGTTTGCTTCCAGGCCCATCGTACCCTGTGCGATGGAGTTGTGGTCCTTGCGCACATGGACTTCCGTGATGCCCTGGTCGACAAGATTTGGGCTGCTGTCCGCCAGGGCATGGGGCCTTCCAAGCCAATCCAGATTCTTGCAGGTCACTCGCACATCCGTGGGTACAGGCGTGGTCCACAGTTGTCATGCGGCTGACACGCCAGCGCCCATGCTTGATCCTCGATCACCGTGTCGTGAAGTCGAGATATGTCAAGATCAATGCGGAGTCAGCATCCATCTACAGTCTTACGCACATGCATCCCCTCTACTAGTCAGAGGGTGCATACAAAATCTGCTCATGATCTAGTCGACTGCTCGGCATCAGATACTCCTAAGGTAGCTTGTCAGGATCGCAGCTATTCTCCTCGTGTCTGCGACACCGGACATGTTCGAATGTTGCATCTAAGCCCATCCCGGAGGCGCCTCGACAGCCATGCTTCTGACACTTGGCTGCAGAGTGCTTATGACTACTTGTGTCTACTTGTAAGGGCGGATCCCACCATGACTGACACTGCCAACACAGAATGGCTGACAAAAGTCGTCCACTAAGGTCTTCGAGGCAGGATGCAAGCTGGACACGGCTTCTTGGCACAGAAGGGTCCGCCGGATCCAGGACTGTTATAGTAGGCAAGAGATGCCCGCACCTTCAGGTTGGGTTTCTGTCCTACTCTTTTGAAGCGGATGGGCTGCGCATCGATCACTCTAACATTACGGGCAACGTCCAGCAGCTTGCAGGCGGGAAAGGTCGAGTGGGTTCTGAGATCCAAACAGACCAAGAAATGGATCATTCAATCTTTGAAGCTTGCGAAGCAGTGCTGCAGCGAAGCGAGGTGCAGTGAATCGCAGTGTGTCGAATTTGCCCACTGCTGCGGGCGTGCGGACAGCAGATGCTATAAACACCGCGCGCGGCAGAGCCGGCAGTGATGCTTGGACTGCGCCGAAGCGAGATATTCGGTTTAGCGTTGTGAAGCGATAGCAAGCTCCCGTGCTGTCTTTTGCGACTTGGTTCACGCATGATGGGATCTCGTACCTTGCAGTGCCGAGAAGGCGGATCGCCTTTGTATCTAATCTGTGCAGGATTTCAGATCGCTGGTTGGACTTGACGCGCACGCAGCCTGGCAACCGTTTCAACTGCGCTCTAAGGAACAACTCCTTGGATGTGCATCGCAGAGATACCGCTTGCTTGGCCCTTTGGACAACAACTCTCTGCTGCTTGAATGAATTTGCAGCATCAAAAGCGCTGTTTTGATACTGAAAGCAGGACAGGCAAAGCGATGTTGGTCGTAGTGGCTTCATAGATCTGAGCATCTCCCCCCGACGGCATCGCCTTGGTCAGGTGGACGCTGTACATGAACCAAGTGCTGCCCGGAGCGCTCTTGGACTCTCCAAGATCTCAAATCGCAATCATTGGGGACGGAACACTGAGCTACGACATCTTTCCGGGACCCGTCAATGTCGATGACGTCTACAAGGCCTCTCCCTTTGCAAACTTTTGGCTGAAGTTGGAGAGCATCCCTGGCACTGACGTGGCCAAGCTCTTGTCTCAGCTGATTCATCCCACGAAGTATGACCTGCCTCCATACTTGATCACTGGTGCTCCTGTCCCGTCCTCGTCTTATGATCTTGTCTTCTGCGAATATGACACAGAGCCCATTGTTGGCCGGCTGTCCAAAATTCTTGGAAAACACTTAGAGCCCAGGCTTTACAAGCCTCTGCTTAACACTTCTAGTGTGCTGAACAAATGGTTCGAAGGGCAACCATGCGCAAGCCAGGATGTTCTTGTGTAGCCAGCTGGAGCGCTCCGGTATCTTAGCTTGTACATACTGGTGGCTTTTGCTGTCCGCCTTTGCTTGAGGGGTGCCGAATACCGACCGCGAGTGAGAGCGGCGTAGGTGAGAGTCCGTCTCCGACGTGAGACTTGCAAAGTGGGCCCAGCGCATTCGGCCTAGGCTGTAGGCAGACTGCGAAGGGGGAAAAGTCCTTGTCGGTCTGTTGTGATCTCCTAGTCCTCGTCCTGGTCCTAGTCCTGAAGAGAGCTCATGCTAAATTGCAGGTCCAAGCTTCTTGCGGTACTGTACTCTAAGTTAGCAGAACCCTTGTCCATTTTGGGTAATAATACCACCAGTCAACCCATATTTTCTGATATTCAGCAAGCAGGATAATAAGGTGACAAGTGAAATTCCTATGAACAAGGAGGTAAAGGATCTCAATCGCAAGCAATCAGAACAAACCAGTGAAAACAGCTCGTTTGCCAAACTGTATCGGGTAATGCATTCATAAGTGTAATATAAACACACCTCATAAGAATTTACGAGATATGAGCTCATTATGCTTACAACCTTTGAAACCAAACCTAGTAAAATCTATAAGAGAACCTTTGCCCATTTCGGGATGAT